ACGACGTTTTGGCTCTTTGGAGAGTAGAGGGACGACAACGAACATGACCTTAGTAGAGGGACAAGAACGAATAAAATATTAAAGTAGAGGGACGACAGTTGGCTTTAAACCTTTCAATTATTGTGTCGACGAGGATCTTTCCCCTGCTTTTCGAAGTGTTTTCCAGGAAACCATTTGTCCTGCTCTTTTTTAAGCATTCTCTAGGAAGGGAGAAAATCCTTTTGGGTGTTGCTACGAAGGTTCACAAGGATCAAATAAGAGCTTAAATCCTTTTGGATTAATATATACATATCTATTGATTTTCTAAGCATTTTCTAGGAAGAGGGGAGATCTTTTTGGATATTAATTAACTTTTTATTTTTTACTTAAAAATTAATTAAATAATTAAATAATTATTAATTAAATTAATAATATTATTTAATTAATTATTAATATAAAAATATAAAATCAATATTTAAAAAAATTTTAAAAATTAAAAATTAATAAAATTTAGATTTTTAAATTTTTGGTACAGTTTTGTGTTGTTGAATTAAGAGGCTTGAATGCTGCTAGCTGTTGAAAGAAAAATTGGAATTTTTTTTTATGTCATCCGATCCTCTTTGGTGCCTCATAATGCTGGTGAAGACTAATTGACATGCACCAATATCATGTTGCTGAATTTTTGGATGGAGCAGGAAAGAATTGATAGTCTTAATGCTGGGACAAGGCAGATATTGTTTGTGCTGTTACTGAATTGATTTATTATCGCTTCCATGCATGCTTCAATTGCTGAAATTAGTTTTGTTTAAACTGTTGCCTTGGTTTCTTAGGCCTTGTGACTTTTTTATTTTATTTTATTTTTTCGGTTTCTCGTCCGGTATTCGGGGGTTTGTCCCGACTAATCCGAACCCGATCCGCGTCGTGCACCTGGAAATGGTGGGTGAGTCTCCCAACGGGAGCTGCTGCATATATAAGAACTCGAACTCGAGACTTTACTTAAGTTGGAACAAGCCGCTTACCACTTGATCCAACCCCTCATTGGTTAGGCCTTGTGACTTGTTTTAAGATGTATGTTGGTCTAGATTTATTAATGTTGACTGGCTTGTTTTTATACTAATAAACTATATAAAGATATGGTAGGGGAGAAAGAATGATACCTTTTTCCAAGGTGTATCCGATGGAAGATTTTCGTTGATTTTAAGACCTTTTCCCAGTCATCACACATAACAATGTTATCTTTCAGCTACTTTTTCTACCGATAAAAATTGCTTGTTCCCATGTGGACGTGGGGCTATCGATCGTTACCATTTTGTATTGTTTTTCCAGGTTTCTCGAGTTTTATTTATTGTCAACGAATATCTTTCCTCTGCTTTTTCTAAACATTTTCCAGGAAACCCCATTCTTTTGTTTATGGGAGTAGCTACCAGCTAGAAAGACTCCCAAGCATGTTCCAGGAAAACCATTGGCTGCCTTTTTCTAAGCATTTTCTAGGAAGGCCGAAACCATTCTTTTGGGTGTTGCTACGAAGGATCATCAGTAGTTTCGGTGAGGAAATCATTCTTCATTGTTATAATGGCTTCTTCCCATCTTAAACTCTCTCTTCATCCATAACCTTGTTTCTTCTCTGCAAGCTTTAATATCTTAATTTTCCAGGTACATACATACATACTTTCATTTTCTACTATTTTCGCTCTTCCATTTGTTTGATGCGACCCAAATTAAATTAAGAAAACTTCTAACTTCCTCAGTATGTATTTTTCTCCTCTTCATTTGATACCAGTTCTTCTCGCACCAAAATACCCTGCGCAAGAACTAAGGAGGTCTGCCTGCTTTTTTTGTTCTTTTAATCACACAAAGCCCTCTGAGTTGCGGACCAGGTATGATATAATTTATTTATTTTTTTATTTTTATGATGAAACGGTATGATATATTTTTTCATATAAAAGAGCTTAGAGTTTGATATATTTTGCTTCTCAGAAATTCAAAGAATAAAGGCAAAACCATAAGTTAAGCCCCTGAACTAACCCCAGAATCGCTATTAAACCCCCCAAACTTTAATTGATGCATATAAGCTTCTGAACTCTACAGTAGAAGCAATTTAGCCCTTATAGTACAGTAACTTAACTGCTGTTAACTGCCATTACTTGCCATTTGGGGACTGCCTCGTGTGGTCAAATATAATCATCTCATGCCTACGTGACAAAGGATTTGACATTTGATTTATCTAATTAGATGAAAAAAAAAATTTAGAAATAATTTTTTATATAATTACATATAATTTAAATAATTAGCTCTTTTAGCTCCTCCATCTTGGCCTCCAACCTCTTACTTACTCTTCGTTCCTGTGCACATAACATATGATAAATTAACTAACCCCTCCCTAAGAAGATGAAAAAAATTGCATAAAAAGTTGGTTGTTGTTGATATGCCTGATTCCTCATTTGATATCTCTCTATAGAAAGCTCAAGCTGGCTACTTCTCTCAATATATGATCTCTAAGGATTCTGAGTTGAGAAAATGAAGCGGAGTTAATACTGTATATTGTTGAGTTATTGTCCTTTTCATAATTGATTGGTTAGGTCGAAACTTACTGATGACAAAAGCCTCAGGTTTAGATCTATTTTTTTCTTGGCCTCCGCTCGGGTTTAGATCTCGAACGATCAAAAACGTTTCATCGTGCGGGATCGGTGGCCACTGTCTGCTTTTTTAATTTCTCTTTTTCGATATCGATCGATTCTATGTGTCTTTCCTTTCAACATTGTCGGCAGATGGTGGGCAATGCGTTCGACTTTCGTTCGATTGTGGGCCATTTTTATTAATAGAAGAATTTTTTTACTATTAAAAATTAAAATTTTGAGATTATTTTGATTTTTTTAAAATTGAAAGATAATTTTAGTATAAATTTAAAAGTAAATGAAATACATTAGTATTTTAACCTATTATTTTCTATTAAATGACTTGGATCGTGGTGCAATGCACATTTTGTTGGATTTATTATAAATACAAAGTTTTTTAAGAATTCAAAATAATTATATTCACCACCAACAAAATCATAATATTAGAACACAAGTTAGAATTAGATTATACAATCTCACGCTAGGCCAGAATGTACTACGTATTTCAATTTGATTGCAGGAAAATCAAGAGAAGGTTGAGGAATGCATGTAGTGATGTGCTAGATAAAGAAGAGGAATTTATAAAATTTCATTTAACTTAGAAATGGACTCTTGAGCTCCTATAATTTTAATGTTAGCATCAAGTAAATGATTTTAATTAAACAATTAATAAATTAAATATTTATATTTATATTTTTAATATAAATTTATAATAAAAATATATTTATTACGTTTTTAATTTGTACTCTTAATTTTTAAAGTATGAATTAAAAACATTTATAATAAATATTAATTGTTTTATTGATTAATGATTATATTTATGAATTGTTATTAACGGTTAAAAGAAATATAATTTGTGTGGTTTTAAGAAAAGATTACGTGAGACTAATCGTGCCCGACTTTGTGCCAGTTTCTAGCTGTCAGAACCAAGATGGGCTAAATTGCCGCGCGAATATAAGTTAATTGATCATCTCAAGCCAGCATCGCGAGTCTAGCCTTGTAGACAAATTTGAGTTGATTTAAACTTCTTCCAGCTCTATATATATATATATATAGCCAGGCAACAAGGTTTCAGTGGAGTTGACAAAAAGGAAAATGGAGAGAAGAACCATAAGGATGGCAGGTAAAGTGGCGGTGCTTCTGATCATCTTGATAATTGCCAGCCAAATCTTGTATGGGGGTTGTAGCAGACCGGTCCCGCAAGAAAGAGTTCTTGGCCCGGCTTCTGGGCCACCTACTTGCACTACTTACTTATCCGGTGGTGGCAATTAACGGTGGCCCCCCTTGTAAAATTCATGGGTGATGCTTGTTTTTTATGTTTATTCGATCTGTGTTGTTAATAAATTTCAAGGTTCCCCTATGTTTGCTGGGAAAAGAAAAATTCCAGCAATTGCTGTACATATTTGCTTGATGTTTGAGGTAGATGCTATAGTTGTTTTCGTTTCTTTTCTTTTGTTAGTAATTAGTACACTGTTATAGTCTCTTTTCTTTGCTGTAAAGAGAATTATTTACTTTCTTGATTGAGATCATGTTTAAGTTGATCAATCTCTGCTGCCACAGAGAGAAAAACTCAGATTTGGATGTCGAGCCATTAAAACGCATCGTGCGAGATCGCTCGACTCTCTGCATTTTTTTATTTCTCTTCTCGCCATCGACCGATTCTAATATCCGTTTCCTGTCAACATCATGGGCAGATTGTCGTCCGACCTTTGGTTCGATTGTGGGCCATTTCTTTATTTCCAATAAATTTTCCACCTAAGAAGCATGCCGCCTATATATCAAGCCCTCTTTGCTTCGCTCCTTCATCCTTGTGGGACTTCTTCTGGCCTTTCCTCCCCATCTTCGATTCTTCATAGCTGCCAGTCTCAATTCCATACGCCGGCGATTCTTCACGGCTCTCTTTCATTAATTTGATCATGTACTAAAATAGAAAAGAGAAACGAAAAAAGTCAGGAAATTAACCGAGAAGGCCACTAATATTAAATCCGGAAATTAATTAAATCCGATGGGTACCGGAAGGTAGTGTCTTTTTTCATGAACCAATTGGTGTTTATTTCAGACACCAGTATCTTCAGGTACCCATAGAAGTTAATTGATTTCTAGATTTAATACTAGTAAAAAAAATGCGGCGACGAGGTTTCTTTTCTGTAGTCATGACTGATGGGTGTATAAGATTATCTTTTGCAGGAATCGAGAATTAATGAAGAGGAGCGGGGACGAGGCAGAAGGAGAGGATTCAGGCAGGCACAGGAGTATAAAAACGGGAGAAGGAGAATTCGAGAAAGAAGGGAAGCGAGATTGTTTGGGATATTATACCGGAATATCCCAATTCAACACAGAATATGGCCTTAGCCCCTTCGATTGCCGGTCGGAAATGCGCCATTCTTTGCCATTCATCGCAGGGCATGCTATTGCTACCAGGCCCCTTTTTATTTTTTGGGAAATAAGCTATGGACCAGACCTTTTGTTATGCCAGCTAAGACGTGTAATAATAATATTTATTTTAATTAATTTTAAGATTTATATATCTTGTGTGAGAGATAAGAAAAAATTATTGACTAATAATTATTATTTTTATTTTAAAAATAATAAAATTAATTTTTATTTTAATTATGAATGTCATAT